ATGGGATTAGGCGAACTTACTGTATATCTACATTTGCCCTTTTGCCAGGTCTCTCAGGTAATGTCCGGTAAAGTATAATATTGAACAGAAAGGGAAAGAAAAACGATCACGCGGCCTTTTGGGTGATGAATTATTTTCCATCTTGCAGCCCCTTTCCTGCTGTCGAAACTTCGCTAGCCTCTCACTACTACTACTCTCACTGCGATTACTATGCCAAATGTTTAAACAGGATGCATTTCAAAGTTCCAACCGTTCAGGATTTCACAGCCATGGTGGCAAATCATTCGCCATTCGTTTCGTGTTCCTTTGGCAACGAGTAAATGACATCCATATCAACTTCTTCCTCAGAACTGTTCCTCCCGAGAGGATGCTTCTCTGACCAATACAATCTTAATCAGAGTCAACTGATATCTATCTACATATCGTCATGATATACACTTCATACCACTCTTACTCAGTAACCCTCTACCTTGATTGGCTCTTGGGCCTTGTATTTGGTGAACTAAAAAAAAAAATATTTTTAAGATAATGTACATTCTCATGTATCTTACCAAGAGACCAGGTTGAATTAAGGCCTTCTGAATAATAATAATAATAATAATAATAATAATTATAATAATAATAAAAATTGTTGTTGTAACCTAGACAAGGTTACTGAGTAAGGAATAACCAAAACGGAGGTTGGAAATGAAATGGTAATCTTTATAACATCAACAAAATACAATACTCGCCAGCGGCGTGAAGTAGGTAAACCACTGCTAATGGTGGACTACGTAGACACCATATTACGATATTACGATATTTACCTGCCTCTCCACGAGGTAGGATGTGACGCAAGGCTAAATTTAATGGGAATTCCGAGCACGAGGGTGCGGGTAAAAATTGCCCGTAGACCCCGCATACGCGGGATCGGGTATCTGTCCACCTCTGCCCTTCCGGGTTCATCTCTGCCCAAATACACAGAGTTGTAGACGGCAAGGGCTTCCCACGCTGACAGCTCACGCTGCCAGCGTAGACAGCATATTACCCCCACTTACAAAAGTGTTCAACGTGTGTATGTGTATTGGAACATACTCATTAGCGTTCATAGATACGGTATATCACAATATTAATGTCTCTTCAAAATCGGTTCTTTCTTTATTTCTTCGTCTGTATGGCACTTATTTCTTTCTTTCTTTCTTTCTTTTATTTTATATATTTGTAGTAATCTAAAAATGGTTACTGAATGATGAATTAACCATAACGGAAGTTGGAAATGAAATGGTAATCTTTATAACATCAACAAAATACAATACTCGCCAGCGACGTGAAGTAGGTAAACCACTGCTAGTTGTGGACTACATAAACAGCATGTTACCCACCATTTATAATAGTGTCCAACGTATTTATGAAGACCGGGATATACCGATTAGTCTTCTTAGGTATGGTATATAACAATAATAATATTAAAAACATTAAGATAAAACATAGTCTCCTGTATCTTACGAAAACATCAGGTTGAATCAAAGCTTTCTGAATAATAATAATGATATAATAATAATGTTAAAATATGGTCTCCTGCTTCTTACGAAAACACCAATTTGAATCAAGGCTTTAAAATAATAATAATAATAATAATAACGTCGTTGGTGATACTAATTGCTATCATCATCACGTATTTCTATTTTCCTCATTGATTATTACTTCCCTCTTTTCAGTGTTTCATTGTTTCTTTATTTCCTCTCTTTCTTGTCCCTTTTATTTTATTCCTGTTACTCTCCCTCCTTTTCATTTCGTAACTCTATTATTATTATTGTTGTTGTTTTTGTTATTTTTATTATTATCCCTTTGGAGTGTTACGCCTTACATTCTATTCTTGCCTCGTCAAGAAATAGGTCAAGGTTACTTTCATCTGATTGGGTAACGTCAAAGACTGACGAGTATTTTCTTTTTTTTTTTTTTTTCACAATGAGTTGTCGTTTCTATCTTGGGTTTTTCGTTACTTTTTTGATAGTTACTCATCTGTTTTCGTTCAAGCTCCTTTCAATCGTTTTTCTCTTTCTTAGAATCTGTATTTTTTTTTAAAATTTCATTTATCTATTTATTTATTTTTTTTTATCGGCGCGTGCAATGCGGCTCGACACAAATAATAATGGTATAAGACGGCGCATGCGCGATCAGTGTACAAAAATGTAGGGAACGCCAATCTGGAACAAAGAGAATGCGCTTAGCTATTTTCTCACTCACTCACTCACTGACACACTCACTTACTCAATCGTTCAAATTCACTCTCCCTGTTTGTGTCTAAATTTGTTGTCATTGTCATTCTCTCTGCCCCCACTTCCTTCTCCCACTCCTCTTAGTGTCTTTCGCATACTTTTACGCATGCGTACGTGTAAAAAAAAAAACGCCAAAAAAAAAAAAAGTTCTACATACCTGGCGGCCGTTATCACGTGAAATTGATGGCAATTCATTATTATAGCTTTCACAGACAATGAAAATACTTCACAATTTTTGTACGAGTGGGATGCTGCAAAATTCTCGGCTCGACCCACTTCCAGGAATCTGACCGAATGGCCAAATATCAGAAGTATTTCTTGCAATAAAATCGATTGTTGGGCAAGGGAACTTTTCAGCACTCCGCAGATTTTTGTCTATATTCGTCAGTACAAGCTTTATAATATATCTAGCTTACAGCACACGCACCCCCCATGCGCGCGCGCACACACACACATGTGTGTGTTTGTATATCGCTTTCTCTATATAGATATATATCTATTTAACTATACATAACATATATATGTCATGCCTTATCACTCTATTAATCTATCGAAATTTTGTATATATATATATATTATATATATATATTTAGTATATATATATAAATATACATACATACATACACACACACACATATACATATATATATATATATATAACAAAAACAAAATGTCCTTACAAACTGAAAGAATTTAGAGAATTTGTTATAATTAGTTACATTTTCATTTTCTGCCTTGAAAAAGTCCACATTGGACGAAACGCGTCGGCAACTATTACAGCTTTTCTATTTTCATTTATATTTATAAATATTGTCTTTTCTACAGGTTAACTCTGAGATATTTTCATATATATATATATATATATATATATATATATATATATATATACTATCGGACGGCATTTAAGCTAGGTCCTGTTGAGGGCTCTTGATTGGGTCTTCATCACAATAGGTAAAGAGAAGTACCTGCGATAGTCAACAATAAACAAAGAACTCAAAATTGATCACTGCTTTTAACTATTGCATTAATATTTAAGCTTTCCTTTTAAAAGTTCAACGATAATTCTTCTGTTGCCACTTAATTTAAAGACAATTTGATGTACGTAGGCCCTTACTTTCCATACAAGCAATTATTTTTTGTTCATGGGTGACTTCGGCTGGATTTCGAAGTTAATTTCAATTATTTCAATTTTTTCAAAGTTATAAAAAATTGTTATCGTACAAAAAATCATTGCAAAAAAGACACATAAAAAAAATTAGAAAAATTGTTATCGTACAAAAAAATTCGTCGCAAGAAATCACGTAAAAAAAATCGCCGAAAACAATGGCAGAAATGAAAACTTGAGAATCCAAAATTTCAGGATTGCTGATCCGAATCCGTCCTGGGATATTTTTAATTTGCTCATGGAATTGGCCCGATTCCAAAATGGTATGATGTTTTGGGTTACGGCCACTTGGAGTAAAGTTGAAAAAATGTAACAGACGAAGGAACAGCAGAAAACTGGATCAAGAGGTCACAATCGCAAGAGGGATCATCATTTTAACTTAGAGTTCAAGAGATCATTTTAGAAAAGATTCAGTGCAATTTCTAAGTCGTTTGGCACACGACGGAGGATTTTCACCTATGACAGTTCAAAGAGCGCCGAAAAAAGACTTGAAAATGAAATCGTACGTGAAACGTGTGAGGCATATTGTTACTCTAGGACAGAAAGTTAGAAGATTAGAGAAGGCGAAGATCATCTTGAATAAGTTGCAAAATGATCCTCGAATAATATATATATATATACATATATATATATACTTGAACTTAATTTCAATCCTCGGACTGCTCAATTAATTTCAATTATTCCTAAATGTATTTCCAAATTATAAAAATTCGTCGAAAAAACATCACGTAAAAATATCGCCGAAAACAATGGCAGTAATGAAAATTTGGGAATCCCAAATTTCAGGATTGCGGGTTCTTCTCTTTTCGAAGGCAGAGATTTTGACCACAGCTAAGAGCATAGGCCCAGCTGCCTACCTACCTGCTTAAAAGGCAGGTAGCCAGTAATATTTCCCAACCTCCCTTCGTGGTAGGATGTGGAATAAGACCGAATTTAATGTGGGTCAATTCAGGCCTGTTGGCTCTTCCAAAAATTCCCCGTAGACCCCCGCCTGCGTGAGGTCGAGACTGTCTACCTCTACGGAGGAGACTCTGCCCTTCGGTATAGCCTCATCGGGGTTCCTCTCTGCCTTCGGGCAGAGAGCTCAGCAATGCCTAAGTGCTTAGCTCCAGCTGCCTACCTACCTGCTCAAAAGCCAGTGGGTATAGTAGTAGGGGGGAGTTCCAAATATGACTAAAAACACCCCAAAACAACTATATATATATATATATATATATTGAACAATAAAAAAAATATTAAAAAATTAAAATCTTCAGACACACTGGGTTGTAGATTAATATTCTTTCGTTTTTTTTTTATTATTATTTCATTTAGATTCCTCGACTAGTTTCTGCCAAAATGGCAATCATCAGGAGAAGAAATATTTCTGCTTGCTGGTAGCAGTAAACTACAGAAATGAATGTCTTTTGCTGGAGAAAATGAACTTTTGTCTGTAGTTTTCATTTGTTTTTTTTATTTTTTTATCTTTTTAACATGAATCTTTTAACATTCCTTGTGTTGGTCAAACAGTCTCTTTTAAGTTGTTATTTGAGATAAGAGCTGGATGGATCTATGCTTCCCTGAATTCCCTTGCTCAGTTTGACAGTTTTATTGGTGCTGGAGAGGGGATGTGTCTTTGTTTAGTGTTTGTGTGT